TTTATTACTTTCCAATGCGTTAGTTTCCGTCTTCGTTTGATTTTGATCGTTTGTATTTTCTATATTTTTCAATAGTTCCTGACCTGCTTTCGAGGTCAAAGTAGATTGCTCCTCGTCTTGTTCTATGAGACTGGGCAAAGGAGTCACGACTTCATTGGGATCGTTTGTTTTTGTCGAGGACTTTGCAACTTCACGAATATTCAACAAGGGTCCACCAGTATTGTGAGAGTACATTGATACATTGTGACTCATTGTCGACGCATCGCCGAGCGGGAATGCGTTCGGAATACGAGTGGAAAATGAAATTTGCGCTTGTCGAAAAGATCCAGGATGGTATTCGTCCAACCACTCAATATGCCAAATCAAGAAACTCCCGTCTATCGGATGTATCGAAAACAGCAAATCCGGATTGTGATGCCAGTCACGTAGCAACGTTTCTATCTTCGTGTCCAACGAATCTGGCGCGTGATTCATTGTGGATGTTGCATCCGTTGCTATAGAATTAATGGAGGTTGTATTGCTGTAACATATAATTTTTTTTAATAGCATTTTATACACAATAATGTGTTGATACACTTAACAAGAAAGAAAGATTTTAAGAACCTACCTAAGACTGGGATGAGAATGCACACTATGTGCTAAACTGTGGTGAGATGAAGTAGTATGTGCAGTATGATGTTCGTCACTACTGTGATCTTCTTGGCTCATTGACCGGCCACCAACGACTGGCTTCGGAGCTGTTTGCAGCCGAACTCCTTTTTCTGAAAGGAATGTTATTAATATCTATATCTTTTTTTTCAACAATTTTCTACAGTATACTCAATAAAGTAAATCAAATGCATACTTGGTGTACATTCATCCTCAGAGTCATGTTCCACATGTTCAGCATCTTGATGCTGCAAACCTTCCTCTTTTTCCACTACTTTACGAGTCAACTCCTGCAGTATGTTTTCGGCTTGCATGGTAAAGTGCATTTCCTTGTTATTTAGCCAGTGTAGGATAAAATTCGGTTCTCTTTCGGGGTCTCCAGTAATTAGGCTTGGTACTAGCGGTATATCTATAACATTAATATATACTATCCACTGACGATTACCAATATTTCAATAATATTAAAAATATATAACACTAAAGTACAAAAAGAATAGAAATAAAATTTTTCTATTACTTTGTCCGTTGCATATTAAATTAATTAATACTATACCAGTTTCTGCATTGATACTAGCTGCCAAGTGGAAATGCATTCCTGGATAATGACCAGAGGTTTGGTAATTATTATGAAAATCATGTACAGAATATGTAGATGGAAGCGTTGGTAAAGTCGGTGCTGTGTGGCCAGCTTGATGTTGCTGCTTAGCATGTCGCCGAATGTGAAAACATGTTCTACAAGCAGAAAGCTTTATGTACCATTGCCTCATTTTATCAAAATTTCATAAGCATTGTAAAACCAGAGCTTTCTTTGTGTTTCAAAATAGCAAATAAGAAATATTATGTACTTCATGTGTTTCAGCCGTTGCATGAATCGATGTTTGTGCATATTATGATGACGATGCTTGCCATGATGACCGTGCCTATCGGAACCTTCAAATTGACTCATATTAGCTAAGCCTTCGATCTCAGGCGGTATCGTTTCTGCCCATACTCGACAAATATTGTCGCGACACGAAGTGACCAACATGTTGGACACAGAGCCTCTAATTTATGACAAAAGAAAAGACGGATTATTAAAAGTATAATTTGCTTTTTATATTGTTTAATATATAATTATTTTTTTTTTGCTAAAGAGTTCTTTCAAAGTAGCATAAATAGTATATTATATAAAAATAATTATTATGGTTCCTGTCTTATTTGTAAATGTTAACGCAGAAAAGAATATTTTTAGAATAGAATTATGGTCTATGTCATTCATAAATAATATCAGTTATGTTTGATTCCATCATCGACTTACTTTGGCATGTATTTACTTGTCTTGCGCCAAGAAAGGTGCGTTACAGCGCGTGGATGTGCCACATAAACAAAACTAAAATTGTCACTGCTCACAGACTGAGAGAAACTTGCATGGTCTAAACTTCTTGTTGGAAAGACTGGAAACGACAAGTAAGTCCATAGTAACTGTTTGTAAATATAAAGACCAGTTACCAAAAATACATACATTGTTTGTGTTCGAACCATATTTTGACCAGTCTATCGTTCATTCCTGTTGTTGCAAACAGAGTGCCATCAGGACTAAAACTCATAAGATGGACTGGTGTAGCTGTACGACATTTCCATACACAATTCCAACCGCCTGGATCATTTGCAATAGACGTGTCCCCGGGCCCCGGACTCTCAGCTTCCCCTCCAATGGAGAACGTTACTGTACCAGCTGTTAAAAAATTAATTGATTTTAACATTGCAGTAACATTGCTTCGGAACACAATCAAATGCACATATCTGGAAAATCAAGTAAAAGAAACTCAATATTCAATATAGCAGCTTCATAATACAAGAGGTGGCAAATTATGTTTAAACATTCGTATAAAATTATAATTATTTGTAATAAATAATCACTTATATTATGCAATAGCAAGATATATAAATTAAAACGTTCAATGTGACAAGCCGAAGGATTAAAGCATCTTAAATCATATTAAAATTATCAACATCTTTATCCGTTTGCAGCTATTATGTAATTGTTGCAATATATACAACAAAGTCAAAATTTTAATTGCACTAGCATCAGTCACAGAAATAACTTGTCGAGTTCATTCAGATGCATTCGTTTTCATTGTCCAATTCTCATTCTTATTGGGCAAGATATGCAGATGGCGACTTTTCGTAATCACAAATGCGGTGCATTAATAAAGCTGTAATGTGTTAACATGCAAGTAACACCAATGTTATACGTTCATTCTCGAAAAGAATGAACTCACGATCCTGAGAAGTATTTGCTGTAACATTATGATTGTTTCCGGTCGTGCTGACTTCTTCCGTTTGTAATGTTTTCGGCTTTGTAGCTGTAGGTAATATTGCTGCATCAAGTAATGAGAAATATGATAATTCTGATATTTTAAAATTTTAATTACTCGCAAGAGGGGAAGAAAACATACATTTGTGCAAATCTCTTATCGCAGGATATCAATGTAATTCAGTACAATTTGAACTTCCCATTGTTGTACAAGATTTAATAAAAATCATATCAGCTTTGTTGAAATGAAAAATTTACGAGAGAGTAAACTTACTGTGCTCTTCTTGAAATGGCGTGATATTTTGATGCCATAATTGTAACAGTTCGCCACCTGTTAACAATCTTGTTCCTTCTAAATTCCACGATAAAGAAGTGATATTCGATTCCGTTTGCAGACTTCCCGTTTGAACCCATCTGTATTCCAATTGCTGTAAAAGAACATTTTGCAGAGATTCAGTAAGAATCTTTAAAGTTCACGTGCACACATAGAAATATAAAACGGAAAGAAGTATACAAACATGTGAACAGGTGCTGTGTATAAGCGGAGTTGGCTCGAAAATGCAGACTTGGTTTTCGTAGGCTGCGGCTATTTTTCCCGTGTCTGTGCTGCAGTCCAGACAGCTGATCCTGATGTAATTGTGCACAGCTCCGGGAATTATTTGAACTCGTTCAAAATTATTGGCCAAAATCACAATATTGCAGCCAGCTGCGTACGCCTGAGTGAAATGCATAGACCATAGTTAATACGCTAAATACTTCTATTTCTCAACTATCTCAAGTAGTATCACGCATATCATAGTTTTATCTTATCAAATTGAGTCGATCTCTCGATACGACATGTTATCACTTTATACGCTTCTCAAAGAGTCAAGTTTCCCGGCACTTGGACAGCCATTGCGAAATATTAGCACGAACCGTTAATATTTTAATCCGCAACGCATAAAAGAAATATGAGCTGTAACGTGCGGAACGATAAAACGCGCACGTTTGCGACGTTTGGCAAGAAAAAGCAGCAACTCGCGGAGCGTGAACGGTCCACGTTCGCAGGCCTGATCCAAGTGTCACTCGATCAGCTGACTTCCATAATGCGGGAGCGCGTATCGACATGAGCGATCGCGCACGAAATTCCGCCGACGGTATCAGCCGCTGGCCGATCGCCAAGGACGCGGGGCCGTGTCGGCGCGCGCGAGAGCGCCGAAGGTGGGACCTCGCGGCGGCACTTACGGTGAAGGATATTCCCTCGACGGAGCCGACCGCGTAGCAGCGGTCGCCCGCGTTGCAGGCGCCGCTCAGTATCTGATGACAATTCATGGTGTCGCGCGCACACGCGAGACGTTAGATCATCGTCCGGCGGCGCGATCCGCCGTACAGTATTCCGCGGCTGTGCCGAGCCTCGTATCCGGCCGGCGTCCGGGCGTCCCGGGCGTCGACGCACGGTCCTCGGTCTCGTCGGGCTGGGGCCTCCGCGATCCCCCCCGGAACTCCCGAAGGACGCGTCACGCGCCTCAGATCGACGCGACACGATGATCGGGCGGCCGCGGCGCGGCCATCTTTAAATCGACGTCCACACGAGCGACATCGTCGCGTCTACCCGGCGGCTGTGCGGATGGCTGACTGGCCGACCGCCGAAGCCGAAGGCAGCCGAAGGCGGCCTCCGGAGCGCACGCACGCACGCACGCACGTACGAGAGCGAACGATCGTGCCCGTCCGCCCGACTGCCGCGCGCGCGCGTATTGCGAATTCGCGTATCGATACGCCGGCGGGCGCCGACGACTTTAAGACGGCACCCCGCGTCGTAGGAATCGAAAGGCAGATGGGGAGGATATGGATCGTAATATAATCACGACTCGAATAGCCACAGGTAATCGTTAGCGACTTCCAAGCGATTACGCTATTTTTACGAATAAGCGCAATCTCTTCGAAAACAACTCGAAACAACTCCCTTTCGGTAATTCAAAAAAAGGACAATTGGTCGTACAATTCGGGACTTTATAACGAGGAAAAAAATTAACTATTCTATCCATGCAATAACTGTGAATCGTTGTAGCTCCTTATGTGATTTCAAGAGCATTCTCTTTACTCATTAGTTACATTTGTTCTTCTACTTTTTAAGATATACGATATATCGACGATACGTGAAATCTATTTATATTAATAAAGTCCTACGAGATAGGTTTCTAGTATGAGACAGCAGGTTTCCAACATCCAAATTCAATCGCAAATCTTTCGCAACGACTGCACAATTTAACAACGAATTTTCCACCGAACAAATTTCGCGCCAAGGCCAATAAATTCGTGGTGGAGTCAACCGACGATGCCTATTAATTTAACAGAAATCCCGCTGTCACATATTAGGATCCTATTTTATCAATCGAAGAAGTTTAACTCGCGATCGCTATTCTGTTTCTTCGATATTTATGATCTACAATAACATGAAATTGTAATAACGGTTTTGCAGTAAATATAATTAGCGGCGCGCTGAGAAAGATTAACACTAGGAAGAAAAAGTTGGTCTTTTGTAGACGCTACACCGTAGCCGCTTGTCGTAGAGACTCGCTTTGAACGAGGCAGGTGAACAGCACGTGTACCTAACATATGCACGTCGTACGTGCCGCTCACATACACAACGTCGTTTAACGGCAAAAGAAGAAAAATGCACGTTAGCTGTAATCGAGCGGTGAGTTTCTTCGGTGAAAAAAATTATTCACCGTGCGATCATATCGATCCTTTGTTATTAACCGCCACTGTGCTATATTTAGCGATTATCTTTCCGAACCGTCTTTCCACTAAAGCGTATTTGAAGCGCACTGGGACGCGTGCTCTTTTCCCTCGAATTACAGTGGGAAAGGGAAACTCTTAGAGGAAAGGAATCGAATGAGAGATCTGAAATTGTGCGCGATTCCTGGGAGGAAAGAGAAAAATTTATCCTGCATTCGAGTCGACGTGAAACGACGACGCGACTGCTTATCTTACGAGGAACTGACGCTCGGCTACGTGCGTGTGTCATTAATTGCGACCAGTTGACACCAATTATGAGGCACACGCTGGCATTCTGTTCCTAATGACGTAATCGAGCGGAATGCGCGAAAAATATTTTCACAGCTCTCATTGTAAGGCGTTGTACAGGCTCAATGTTACACAGACCTGACATACTTGATATTTCTGCAGTTTAAATTTTGTTAAAACACAAATTCTTTTGTAATATTTGAAAGGAAGTACACAACTGATAATGAAAAAAGTTCTTCCTCTTCGCCTCCGCGTTGTTATATTACATACTTGAAAAGACAGAAAGAGAGTAAATGTTTTTCTTTAATTGCGAAATTAATGCGACATCGTCGCAAGAATGTTTAGTCGATACTGGATTATTATAAAATTATGTAAGCATAGAGCGATAGAGGCATTTCAGCAGAATCAACAAGTATCTCGTACACATTTTTACATTGGATACCGTACAATTATAAACGAGGCATTTCGCCAGTTCAAAAGAACAAAATTCTCAAACGTATAAAATATTCAAGGCATCCAAAGCTTTGTATTATTATACTTTATAATAGAAACGTGATATAATACGGCACGAGTGGCATATCACGCGATGTACAAATTAATGGGGGGGGGGGGGGAACTGATTGTGGGTCATTTCTCAAAATTCCTCGCGACACAGCAATTACAATAAATAATCTTTTTGTTCGCAGATACGTATTTATATAAATATTTCCGTAGAGATGGAAAAGCGGAAAAGAATCTAAGAATTGCAAATTCCATTGTTTCGCAGCGTTGAGAAATACACTTCTCTCCTAGTAATTTTTGAGCCGTCCGTTCTTCAAGATCCCGCGGATGATAATCAGCGTCTGTGTTTGCGCGACGATTCACAGTAATGGAATCAAATTCCACCCTGTTCCAGCCGATTGACAGACTTAGCGTATCTGCGGAGGTAAGGGCAGTAAATATCGCGTGCAGGCGTATGTGTACGCGCATGTGTATACATTTGCGCAGATAAAAGAGGTATAGAAGCGAAGATATAAAAACCTAATAGCTGCCTGGTCCCCGACGCATGCTCCGTTTCAGGGTCTGGCCGTGGGGTGATATCCAGTCGGGTAAGAGAGCCTCGTCTGGTCCGCGTCGATCATTACCTGACGGAGCGCAGAGCCCGTCGAAGACGCGCGACGAGAGGGAAGATGAGGGTTCACCCGTCCCTAATCGCTTCTCTACGCCCTGCCCGGCGTCGCGAGCACTGAGGAACACCATCCCCGCGTTTCCACCCTCGTCAAGGGAGCCAAGTCCATGTCCGTTAAGCGTCGACGAGCCCCTGGTTCCGGAGGATACCGTCGGAGCGACGACCGGCTGTTCGGCTCGGGATAGCTCGCTGCCAGAACCCAGGCCTTTATCAGCGATTAAATAAACGCGGCCGACCTCGACTGTCGACTCGCCGCGGACCGGCCTTGGGGCGACCAGCAACCACGTCATCGGCATCCCCGGGATACGCGCGCGTATGTATGTAGAGACCAGTGTACGCTGCGTACGGTGTCCGTGTGCGTGCGCGGTGAAACAACACACACCACCTGTGGCACATCCGTCATCCGCCGTCGTATTTACGTCGGTCGCTTTGTCACACGTATTGCGCTAATCGGAAATTCAGCAATGATACCGTTCGCCACGGCGGCCGTTTCGAATGCCGATTGGATGCTGAAATCGAAACTAGTGTAACTTGGGTGAGTTTTACCGACGCGCTGATCGCAAAATGGATTAAATGTGAATAATGAATTGGATAAACGCATAGAGAATTCACACGCACGCGATATGCTTTTTTTAACGTTGAAGAAAGCACTTTATCATTATTATCTAACACTCGGATATATATAGCACAGTATATTCTATAAATTTTACTTAATGTCAAACGTACTTTGCTTGCAATAATTTTGCAAAATTATGACCCTTTATCAATCTTTGCAACATAGCCGTAGAATTACCGAAGCCATATCTGCATCGATCGTAATTTATCACTCGTTTATTTGTATAATAAACTCATTCGTACAATGAATACATAAATTAGTAATTTAAAGACACAAATAAAAAAATATTGATGAAGAAAGTGTATGATGATTAAAGAATTATAATCGACGCAGAGTATATCTTCGTCTAAAAATGAATTCGATTTATATCCGATCATTGCCACGTATAACATCGAGGTCTAGAAGCACCGCAATGATATCGGTTTCAACCCCCTGTATTCGCCGTCGATCATTGACTGGTATATGCGCGGATGAATTAAAGACATCAAGTCGATCTTTTATTAAATTAATTAGTTCTGTATTAATTTAGTTTTATATCTATACTATATTCTTTCTACGTTGAATTTTCCGAATGAAATATTCTGATACATTAAGAAGATTCGCATAAAATTCTTTCGTTTGACCGAGAATAATTTTAATTGCGAAGGACTAGGATACGGAAATAGCTATCGTCGATGAAACTATGACGAACCAGATGTCCATCTCCTTCCGCTCTATAAATATGGACGAACACGAGAAGAACTTGATGACAGGAACGTTGGAGCAGAGGAAGGAGGCCTTCAAAGAGGACGAGGAGCTCATGAGGGAAACCACGAAATTTATCAGCGAAGTGATAGAGACCGCCGCTACGGAAGCTTCGAAAAGAAAGATTCAGTCGGAGGTAAATGACTGAAATTTATTATTCGACTAGAAAAATGTCATGATGGTAAAGCTCAAGTAGCGATGCATTAATTATTAATAAAACTATTAGATATTATATCGTAAAGATTGGGTAATGCAACGTTTCCTTTTTTGTGTTTCAGGGAGCTGGCACAGGTGAAGGTAAGTACAAACCAATCTCCTACGTTCTGTGTTTTACGTTTCAAATATTTTAATTTACGGGATTGAAACTTTCTCAATTGACTCGCGTCGGCTATAACACAGGGAAAGAAGGCGGATAAAAATAAAATGGTAAATATTTTACATTTTGGAGAGGTAGAGGAAGAAAAAATAGGTAAAGAATAAGCGAGAAAAGACGGATAGTTGAAAAAGTGTAGACGACTAGATCGCTAGAAAGAGATAATTTAAAAAATTTATATAGACATCGTTCAATGTGTAGGAAAATAGAAAAATTAATAAGTATAATTAATTCAATAGACGCCGATTTGAATTGGCAAATAGAAATATGCTTATGTTCATGTAACATCTCCGTTGACAATGCGGGAAAATGTGTAAAATAAAATATGACTATATAGAAAACGAAGATTATAAGCAAGACCGATATTTATAAGCTAGACACATTTTACTTATTTATAAGCTAATCGTTTAACTTTTTTTGTCAAGTTATTACCAGCCAAGTTATTACAAGTTATATTAACTTATATTTTCTTTCATATTTTTTTTTCACACATTTTCCCGTGCCATCAATAGCAACGGAGATATTTCAGATGATCAAGTCGGGTGGGACACCCCGTAGAGCTACTTGCAAAGTAGAACGTCGCGCAATTATAATTACCTTTCGAGATTGATATTTATAACACGCTGGCTATTCGTGTGTGTGTGCAGGTAGTAGATTGAAGGGTGGCGATACCATCGCTGGCTGGAACAACCGTGCGCGTGGATTCTGCAATCGTATTCTCAATGCGCTTTGCCCGTGCTTCACTAACCATGGTAAATCGTAGAGCGATTCACGTAGTGACCGTCGCCACGCTATTTGCCAGCCTCCTTTACAAACAAGTAGTTTTGCATAATGCGCTCATCGTCATATCGCATCACCATCGTTCAGGCTGCAGACATCCTTCCATATATCATCTACAGGTAGATGAAGAACGAGTCGATCACACCGATCAATTCGAGTATCGAGCCGGTCTCTGTAAAAACACACGTTTTAATTACTTCGCTAGTTAGTAAAGAACGAACGTTCTTGCAGTCCACATTGGACTATTATTTCACGTAATGAAACTAATGGCCGATCGCCGTCGAATCGTTCGGTATTAATCATTCGATAAGTCATCCGATTATTCGTTTCGATCCTTCGCTGTAGATTTACAGCTCATCATCGGACAGATTAATTCTATCAAAGATGTCACAGCACACGCTTATCTTGCAAGATCTTTCGACTACCACAATGCAAATCCATTAGACGATACTGCATTAAACCTCTTCCTAGACATTTTTACAAATCAGTCAATGGATCTGTAGCAATTCGGCATGTTTCATTATTGAATGATAACTGGAAACGGCAGCTTGCGTCGAAACAGACTGCAGACTGAAGATAGAGAGCGGGAAGTTAATCACTCGTTAAAGGAGAAGGATGGACACTTAAATTTCGAACGCAAGCGAGCTGGGCGTTTTCAGAGTGCATGCTAATCTTGCATCCCAAGCGGCGCGAAAACGAGACGTTCTTCGCGCTGGTACACCTCTTGCATGCTAAGCATATTTAGATGTGGCAGGCGAGCGACGGATACACAATGGATATGTATTCTTTTCCCTTAGAACTGTTCGCCTGGACTCCATACCGGTATCGCTTCACAAGACCTTAACCGTTCGATGACTCTTCGGATTTTCCATTCCGTCATGCGAGTTTGCCACGAGCAGACAAACAAACAAAATAGAATTAAGTTCTTTCCATTATTAATTTGTATCTTGAATCGCGTCTCTCGTGCGGGTCAACCGAAAGCATCGCATATCCTGTTTGTGAAAATCGGCGCGGCTTTCCATTTCTCGGTCTGGCTGGAGTAGAACACGTCGTTAGGGAAGATATTAATCACGTGCAAACAATGAAGACTACCGTACGGCACACGAAAAGTCATTGTCGACATATGCCCCAATCAATTTTCCTGGTGTTTTGTGAAGAAAAGCGAGAGTTTAATCTGCTGTGGCTGCTGTGCAGCCGAGCGCGAAGAAAGCTACATTAGTGTTCAATGGAAAAGGAAACTATATAAATGTAAGTGAAACTGACTCGTGTACTTAATTTCTGAGCAAACTGTGTCGCCTTGTAGAGCAGTTTGATAAAAAATACGGTAATAGTTAGTTTTCTATTTCGTCCAACTTTGAGATAATTGTCATTTTTACTATTATGCCTTCCGATTCTGTAAGTTTCTCAAATGGTGACAGATAGTTCCTCTCGCATTATTCGCAACATTAAACTTTCTTTGATCCAACGTATAAAAAAGGAATTTTTATATACTATTAAACGAAAAGACACATAATATTTAAATTTTAATGTTTTTACATTTTCCTCTGCGAAATCAGCAAAATGATGATGGTGTGCATAAGCTAATTTTATATTATACGAAAGTTGAAAGATGAAATATTGGAATTTATAACAAAATATGTAAAAAGAGTTAAACCAAGATGTGATGACACTGATGACATATTACATTGTCGAGATTTACGGAATGAATAACATTTGACATATCGGATATATCAAATTGTAAAAAGATTATATTATAACCCGACAGAAGATTATATTTTACCTTACCGGTTTACAATTTGTTGAATATCTAAAAGGAATACGACACGGTTTTCAATAAATTCAGAGATATTTAACTGGTTGAACGTCTGTTCAAGTTTGAAGGCATTATCAAGGATAGCAATAATGCATGTGAATACAACTAGAAAATTTGTATCAAACTGTACACTTTACGTATTTATGTGTCATAGAATGTCAAACAAGAGAATTAGTCAAACGTACCGTGCTCCGTCGTGCGGTCAATATTAGTTTTGACTTGAAAATTATCAAAGAGGGTTCCGTTATAGATAAGCAACCGTAACGCAATAGCTTGCCAGGCACTGGAGAATCGGATCAATACCGTTGGTACGGAACTGTCAACACATGTATAAGATTATCAGAAATGTAGATGCGTGAGTAGGATTATCATATTTATTTCTTCCCGAATCTGTAAAGCCTCATTAAGACTACGGAAAGGATCATTTGTGTGCGGATCGCGTTGTAATAGAGAAATTAATCGGTTGCAAACATAAATTTCAACAGATAATCGACTAAGTTCTCAAAGCGCTGTGTGTTATCCGTATTCACATTAAATGTACCTGTGTCAATCAACATTATAAGCCGTTAGATATAATTGTACAATTACACGTTACACAGGGTATTCTCGGGAGAGACGCGATATACACGCGACAGCAGTTTCACTCAGAGATCAAAATTTTCTCTCAATAATTTCTCCCAGAATTTCTCTCAATAAATATTATTCAAGTCTGTCTGTGCCTATTCTGATGGAAAATCTAATTTCACAAACAAGTGATTCGACAAAATGTCGAGGCGAGCATCCACGACATTTGTCCCATTTTTTTTAAAATATTCCGTGGATATTCTCCACGATACGTCAAAAGAAAGGATCGATACAAATCGTTTGGGTTTAATCCCTGTGTAACGTGTCACTACTGTGTACGTAAACGGCGACGACTATATTTCGACGTTGAAACATTGGCGGAACATTGGAAAGGTGTCGGAAAGAAAATCAATATATCCACGCGGTCCTCGTTTTGGCCACGAATCGCCGGTTGCGGAGCATGTGCCGCCTACGTATTTTCACTGGCAAAAGCTAACGAAAGCGGGTGCTTTTCCCCCCTTTAAAGCGTCGCCTTTTCGCTCTTAATCGTTCGTCTATATGTGCATATTTTAATTCCGATCATAGTGTGCAAGGGGCATGCTAGGTGGTTGCGGGGGTCCAATATGTTTATTTTCTTGCACACACGCACACACATGTAAAACATACACACACAGACACATACACACCTAGCAGATTGTCCCTGATAATTTGCTGAACTGAATTCTCATTCGCATATTCTTGGAACAAAGGGAGACTACGCAAAGAAATACTTCACGTTGCCTACTTAGATGTATAGAGGGATCAACAGTGTATTATGTATATCGGAGACGAGTGACAATCAAATGTGTGTGAATTGTCGTGATATATGTACATATATATATGCGTTATATAAATACAGATATATAAAATTTCATATCGCGAAAAACTTTGTATTTTGCGTTACCGGGACACTCGATATATAAAGGCAAATGTATTATATTGCATCACTATCTTCATATCTTCGGTACCGCGAAATCGCAAGCAGTCATTGATAGATATCAAACTACCAGACACATGTACCATCGACAGACTCACCGCACTTATGAAAGTATTATTCTGAAAACGATGTCACGTATATAAATACACAATAAATATTTACGTTAAAAAGAACTGCAATTTGTTATTATGTGTATATATCCCTCAACCCTTCGTATGTGAAAATTCTGTTTTTATAGAAAAGTTACAAGTTGATTGGCTATTCGCATAGCGACTTATAGAGCAGAATTTTCGCGCATACGTATATCTCTTTCGAATCAAACCCCAGTAAAGATGCAGAGTTACGATTGACTAAACGTGTTGCCATGTTATCGTGACTATGGTAACGCGAAGCAAGCAAGACGAAATCTAAAGACAGTAAGTTGTAACGATAAGTTGAAGGAGAGGTTGAGTGACTATTTCTTATTTTGTAATTTTCTATCTAAATTACGTACAGACTTAATGTTTTTAATTTTACATTAATGTAACAATTGCCATAAAAGCGAGTTACACAATGGAGAGCTCGCGTTGTATACAAGAGAAAGCTAAAACTCAGAGAAAAGAAGAAGCCACGGAGCTAGACAAGAGCGATAAAGGAATTGGCGTTTGCAAGTCGAATCCGTGCACAGGATTGACAAAGCGAAGCAAGGAGTCCCTCGTTGGGAAATCTCGTAAAAAGCATTGCGATTGGATGAAGTCCACTTCCGATACGTATTGTCCAAATACTAAACTTTTCAAAAGTTATCACATGCATCAAAAGATGTACGATCGCTTGGAAAAGTATGTTAAAGATGAATTGCGGACTTTCGATTTACCTCAAAAATGTGAAACTTTGTCCAGGTAAGCTGTTAACAATTGTTAAGCTATTATTTGTAAAGTATAATTATTTGCTTATTGCAAAATGTAACATTACACGTTCCCGTGCGTTTATTCTATGTAAATTATGTATCGATTTTTATTTAAAAGATTTAAATAAATTTAAAGGCATACTGTGGCGCCGAAGAAAAAGGAAAAAGAAATGACTTGTCACAAGGACGATTACTATATGTCGCTACGTCGACGGAGGGCCGAGTTTCGAATGCATCTGATTAGGAAGATCAAAGGGCCGATGAGACGCGACGAAATCTGGCGCGAGGATAAAATGGAAATTTGTCGCGACTATGCAAAAGAGCAGACGGTTTTAGACAACGATAGCGTTTGCGGACAAACGGCAGCAATTTCGAGCAACGTCGACGATATCGCCGACATTTGGCTCACGGAGGAAGACAAGAATCTCTTGAGGTATTACTACTACATTCTACATGAGGTTGACGACGCTCATGCAGGCACCTTAGATTCTGAAACGTTAAAGAAGATCACGAGCATGGTGTCCGCTGAATGGCAGGAGAGACATAACGAGCGCTTCAACCAATTGATTCGGGAATTAACAAGTGACTATGTTACAAGCATGAAAAAATCGATTGTCGACTTTGTGCTGCAGGAACCTTTCGAGGAGGTGTTCTGTGCTCCGGTAAGTACGACATACACGACACGTAACGTATCACCTCTGCACAAGAAAAATGACACAAGTGAAAAATTTAACAGGAGGACGATTTGAAATTTTCGATCTTAAATTATTTTTATCCTTTTCCTTTTCTCGCGTTGATAAATCTGTCTCCATAATGTGAGAATCGTATTTTTGTTTTAAACGGTCCTTTTCTTTACCATCACTATTTTTAAACGAAATGCAATCTTCGCATTGGTTTTATTCAGGGCGAAACTTTTGTAACTGTGCATATGGCGTTTTTTTTTAAATACAAGTATACTTTTTCGAGTTGAAATTATAAAAACGCAGAAACTGATATTTTTCACTTGTATTACTTTACTGGCGCAAAGGTGACATATATGGAATAAAGTATTATTTCATACTTGACTTTTTTGGACGCCTGATGAACGGCGTTCGACAATATGCCCTTTTGCCGATAATCCTACGGTCGCTTTTCACACTCGATTGCTTTTGCGATTACACGTTCTGCACATTACAGCCGTTGCTCTCCCGAGGAATCGCTGAGTTGTTGTTGCCGGAGCACAGTGTTAAGTACCAAAAAATAAAAGCAAAATTAGAGAAGAGATCGATCATCCTTTATCACCCGTGCATACGCAAAACTTTAGATCACTGGTATCGTGAATACGGGTTAGTAAATTAAAGTGGCACAAAACATCAAAATACCGGTATATGAATTAATTCTTATACCTACATTAGCTTCAGTATAATTTCGCAATTCGTAGAGAGGCCAAACAAGTAGACAAACGAGAACTGGCGTCGTACAGACAATCCTACGATCTTTCGAAATTCGATTACAAATTTTTAAGAATCCTCAGGGACACGAGCGATGATCTTCTCAAACGATGGCTGCCAAAGATCTGTAATATTTTACTCGCAGTAAGAAATTCGCTTTATTATTTAAGCAGTAGTATTTTTCTATCGATGCTAACTTACGACTGATTGTCGTCGAAATTTTCATGTTCAGGCTTCGAAGAAGGGAAGTTTGCCACCGGTGAACAATCCGCAATATAACAGATTCTTCAATTGTCTTGCCTACGTCATGGAAGATCAATTGCGAGACTTGTGCTTGCGTTCGATGGAAGATTATATTAATTATCTCACGGACGTCGGCGTAAGTGTATTTTACAAACTTTGCTGTTTGATAAAAAATGTTTTCAGTGTACATTTCAGTTCATTTCAAGTATATTAAATATAATTATTATGAGCAGCATACAAATTGCGGCTTTAATATAAACGTTGTGGTACGAAACACATCCATCGTTTTTGATCCTTCATTCAAAGCATTTGCGAACGGGCTTTCAATGTTGCTGAATTCTCTTTATGATGCTGTAACAACGTTACCACGAGCGGAAGTAAAACTCGGATGGATTTATCCGGACAGTACTTCCCCTGAATTGCTCAAGGTATATGAGTCCTGTAATATTGAATTATTCAGAAAATAAATTTAGAAAATAAATATTATACTTAATAAATTAAAATAATGATAAACGATTAGTAAAATTATATTACAATATAATTATTAAATTCCTATACGTTTCCATAGCCAATGATTTCTTCGGATCTTCTCGAGCAACACGCGAACGTCGTATCAAATTTAATTCAACGATATAAAATTGATCCAGAAACGCAACTGCACGAGTTTGATAAATACATGAGTTTAATAAACGACAACGATATAAATTACGTCCGGGACTTTGTGAAGGCCCAGCCGCCTAATCCGTACCAGAAATATTGCGAACTCGTTGATTATTATGATCGTTTGAGCAAGAATATTCTACTCGAATTTTATTGGACGTCTTTCACTGATCTCTTTGAAGTTTGCAAGCATTATATTATAGAACATCTCGCTTCTATAGCTGTTCATCTCAGAGGCGAATTAATTTCAAAAATGGTCGCTGATTATCAACAAAAAGTTCGAGCGTACGTTTCTTGCTTATTTTTACAATTTATCTGACTTTGCGATTAAGAAATCTAATAATAATTTTATTATTTAATAACAATTTTTACTATCAGTATAGGAGATGTTTATCAAAACATCGCAAACCAAGCATTAAGTATACCACCCAACACGTCGGAACTCATGAAATTGCAGGCTTTCATACATAAATCTGAAACAGAGACAGTTTTCGAGCTAGAGAATAGATTGAGAGAAGTAATGAAATATATAATATTTTTATCGGATTATCACCATTTAACGCCGGTCGAGTTGAAAAGCAATAATTTTGCCTTTCACTGGTGAGCGCGCTTAATCATATTAATTTAATTATATTCATTATAATAATTTAATTCGCAGTAAAATTTGTTCTGTAATTCAACATAAAAATAAATCTGAATGACATAATTACATGTGGAGGAATTGTTTAAGTAATGTCTAGAAATTTTGAATGATGTGAATAATTCTGTTGAAATGCTCGTATACTTAGGTACCACACAATGCCTGAAATTTTCGAAAAGCACCGAGAAATAATCGCAGGTAAAACGGGTGAATATCAGGCAACGCTCAAAACCAGAATCGAAAAGTTTGAACAGGATCTTCAGATTTATGAGAAATACTGCAACGAGTTGCAATATTGGAGCAATATCGAAGAGATACAACGATACAAGAAAAAAGCTACGAGCCTCGATAAAAAATTGATTGCTGCTATGAATACAATTGCTGAATTCAACGACGAGGAAAAATTATTCGGTTGGGAAATGTCACAGTATCCCTTAAGAAAGAAGGTAATACAAATTCAATTTGAAAACATGAAAAAATTGTTTTACATTTATACTCTCTACCTTGCCTATTCCTATTTTCTTGCATTTTTCTCTACGGAAGAAATAATATTATTTTTATTGATAATTAGATAGCCGATAAATTGGCACCCTATAAAAAATTCTATGACATCGCCTGCGAATTTTTAACTAACTACGAGAATTGGACCGAGGCTATGATAGGCTCGTACGATCCGGAAGTGATAGAGACCGAAACGGGCGTAGCATTTCGCACGGTATACAAGTTGGAGAAGGCTTTTCAAGAGCCTGCAGTGAGGAAGCTGGCGGAAATTGTAAGAATGAAAATCGAAGATTTTAAAGAGCATATACCGGTGATGCTGACTCTTGGGAATCCTTCCCTGAAAAGCCGTCATTGGGAGCAGGTTTCGGAAATTGTTGGGTTTCCGATAAAAGTCGATCAATACATGACGTTGGCCAAGGTGAGTGCAAGCCTGACTGGTTTGTCATTGGTTACAGATCGTAATCGTATCTACGTTCGCAGATTCTCGACTACGGCTTAGGCGACTATGTCGCGAAATTCGAAACGATATCCGAGGCGGCCACTAAAGAGGGTAATTTAGAGAGAGCTTTATTCAAAATGTATTCCGACTGGGCGGATATTGCGTTTACCATCAGTCTTTATCGTGATACCGGTACATATGTTATTGCCAGTGTGGAAGAGATACAGCTATTGCTTGACGATCATCTAACGAAAGCTCAGACCATGAAGAATTCTCTTTACATAAAACCGTTTGAGAAAGAAACCCTGTAGGTTTACATTACTTAACTCTAAAATAGCAAAGTTTTAATTTCTTTTATCACTTCTTTGCTAAATGAAATTCGTAGTCATTATTTTTTATGCTATTAGAGAATGGGAAGCTAAATTGCTCTTGCTGCAAGATATTATGGATTATTGGCTCAAAGTTCAAGCGACATGGATGTACCTTGAACCGATCTTCTCATCGCCGGATATACAGCAACAGATGCCAGAGGAAAGTCGGCGATTTAGCGCCGTAGATAAAGTTCGTAATTATTCGCGATGTAAATTAAATCGCCGCGTTGTCGCTCACAACATACAAATTAAAAAATTTTAATTATATGTATAAAATAGATCTGGAGGGAACTTATGACAATTGTCGCGGGTAATCCAGCAGTCATGGTCGTCGTCGATATTGAGAAAATGCTAGATCGCTTGAAAAAATGTACCAATTTGCTTGAATTAGTGCAAAAAGGACTTGCCGCCTATTTAGAAAAGAAAAGGCTCTTCTTCCCGCGATTCTTCTTCCTCTCTAACGATGAACTTTTGGAAATCTTGTCTGAGACAAAGGATCCCACGCGGTACGTTTCATCATATGCTGCTTATTGTCATATATCTTCGACTTTTAACTCTGTATTTCTATTATTATCGTAGAGTACAGCCACATTTGAAAAAGTGCTTCGAGGGCATCGAAAAATTGAATTTTACCGATGCTATGGAGGCCACAGCTATGATGTCGTCCGAAGGAGAGGAGATTATTCTCGAGGACGTAATCGATACGACTGCTGCGCGAGGACAAGTGGAGAAGTGGCTCCTTGAGCTTGAAACAGATATGAAAAAAAGCGTGAAGGCTCAGGTTAATTGGAATCGATAATGATCTCGAATAAATGAATAATTGAATTATTAAATATGTCGATTCGATTTTCTTTCAGGTGATACGAGCCAAAAATGCCTTCCCGACTAAAGCTAGGAGTCATTGGGCTTTAGAATGGCCGGGACAGACTGTTCTCTGCGTCAGCAAATTATACTGGACGACAGATGTTACTGTTAAGCTCCCGAAGGGCTTCGAGAGCTTAAAAGATTACATAGATACATGCACATATGAACTTAATGAAATTGTTAAGCTCATCCGCAGTAAATTATCAATGCAGAATCGAACTACTTTGGGTTGGTACTCTATTTAGCGATGTATTACATCGATCTGGAAATATTTCTTTTTCTCTTCCTTTTATTCGCAGAAGCTTTAGTAACGCTGGATGTTCACAGTCGTGATGTGTTGGCACAGCTCTGCGAACAAGGTGTAAATCAAGTCATGGACTTTAAGTGGCTTTGCCAACTAAGATACTATTGGATAGTGAGTAGATTCAGATATGTGTGATCTTTTTTTTTAGTTTGTTATAATTTACATTTGCTATCATATGTACATGTTCAGTAACAAGATTTATACTTCTGACCTTAGGATGAAGACTTGTTCACGATGATGATAAATTCCAAGCTGGGCTATGCGTACGAGTATCTAGGCAATACGTCGCGATTAGTGATAACACCGCTCACCGATCGATGCTATCGCACCTTGTTCGGTGCTCTCAGCCAGCATCTCGGCGGCGCTCCGGAAGGACCCGCTGGGACAGGAAAGACCGAGACTACCAAAGACTTGGCAAAAGCAGTCGCCAAGCAATGCGTCGTATTCAATTGCTCGGAAGGATTAGACTACATCGCCCTGGGCAAATTTTTCAAAGTGCGTACTGGAAAGAAATGTTAATCTGACAGTGTACAGATACACGAACGTGTAGAGAAAGTCCCCTATTATGAGATAAGATTGTAATATGGGATAGCGGGGTTTCTGTTAAATTAAGCATCATCAGTTGATCCCACCATGAATTTATTGCCCTTGAAGCGAAATCTGTTTAGTGGAAAATTCATTGTTAGATTATACAATTGTTGTGACAAAAGATTTGTGATTGAATTTGGGTGTTGAAAACCTGTTACCTCATATTAGAAAACTATCTCATAATAGAGGACTTTCCTCTGTTTGTATACTAGGTTGAAGATCAAATATAATTTTTCTGCTGAAAAAAGGAAGATAGTATGGCATGTATGTAAAAAATTCCTTTTCTTGTTCTGAATTTATATCGAATAATATTCCACAGGGACTAGCCAGCACGGGTGCGTGGTCTTGCTTTGACGAGTTCAACCGTATTGACCTAGAAGTGCTGTCGGTAGTAGCGCAGCAGATACTAACTATTCAACGAGCTATACAGGCGGGAAAGAAGATTTTAATATTCGAAGAAACAGAATTAACTCTGGATCGTACTTGTGCGGTATTCATCACAATGAATCCGGGATACGCTGGCAGAACGGAATTGCCAGACAATCTGAAAGCTTTGTTCCGACCGGTAGCTATGATGGTAAGTTCAAAAACGCGCCTTGAAAAAACATACTATATGTTACCGTACAAAAATGTGTTTCCTTCGTATTCAATAGGTACCGGATTACGCCTTAATAGCGGAGAACATTCTCTACTCATATGGATTCTACAACGCGAGGCCTTTGTCTATTAAGATAGTTATGGCTTATAAATTATGCTCGGAGCAACTGTCCAGCCAGAATCATTACGACTATGGCATGCGAGCGGTGAAGTCTGTCTTAATAGCAGCAGGAAATTTGAAATTGAGATATCCTGAAGAAAACGAGGATATGTTAATCCTGCGTAGTATTAAGGATGTGAATTTACCGAAATTTCTTAGCGAAGATATACCGCTGTTTCACGTACGTGTATACGTTTACGCGTAAATAAGGAGAAAAGATCGTTAAAAATGTGTTATTTTAGGGTATTATCTCGGATCTTTTTCCCAACGTGCAACTGCCTGAACCGAATTATGTGCACTTAAACGCGTCCGCATATAAAGCATGCGCCGCTGCAAACATTCAGTGCGTCCCTGTGTTTCTGGAGAAAATCCAGCAAATATACGAGATGATGTTGGTCAGACATGGATTCATGATCGTCGGATATTCCTTTGCCGGCAAAACTACCGCCTACAAAATGCTGGCTGACGCACTCGAGATTTGCGAAGAAAATGTAAGCGCTTCGAATTTTTATTGTCACCCCAGTAATTCCGTTCAAAAATGACAGAAGCGATTATATCAGTATATACTGATGAAGTCGACTAAGTTTAGTGCTGATTTCGAATAGAATTTGATGAACGAGCGCAAAGTGGAGATTACGGTGATCAATCCGAAGTCGATAACTCTGGGACAGTTGTATGGGCAGTTTGATCCAGCGTCCCACGAATGGTACGACGGTATTCTGGCTACTAGCTATCGAGCTTTTGCAACCTCGACAAACGACAACCGAAAGTGGTTGGTCTTCGATGGCCCGATAGACGCGATATGGATAGAGAGTATGAACACCGTTCTCGACGACAACAAAAAGCTGTGTCTAATGAGCGGAGAGATCATTCAGCTGGCGCCGACGACCAATTTGATATTCGAGCCACTAGATCTGGAAGCTGCTTCACCAGCAACAGTGTCTCGTTGTGGTAAACGAGTCCTTTAATAACAAGTAAACTACAAATCTAGAATTAGATGATTGACAAATTATTCAAAACAGGAATGATTTATATGGAACCTGGGGCGTTAGGATGGGAGCCCTTGTTAAATTCTTGGATAGCCAAATTGCCAGAAGTGATAGACGAATGGCTACGAGTCTTTTTGTATGAATCGCTGTTCCTTAGATTTTGTAAACCCCTTTTTCACCTATTACGTCGGTGTAATGTAAAGGTAGAGAAGATCTAGTCTCTATTTTTATAGATAGATATCTAATCTAGAATTATATGTATCGCGCGATAGATACTGTTCATTAATTTGCAGGAAATATGTCCGATGCCCGACTCAAACCTTTTACGATCCGTCACTTATCTCATGGATTGTTTCTTGGATGACTATTATAATGAAGAAGTAGTAAAAAATATAAGTGAACTTGATCTTCGAGCACAGATAGAAGTTAGAATTGGTCAAATAGTTATAATAAAATGTTACAAGTCGTAATGAATTAACTTTAAATATTTACGTAGGGTTCGTTCTTCTTTTCGTGCATCTGGGCAATGGGAGGCACCTTGGAAGCTAAATACAAGGAACCATTTAGCATCTTATTCCGTGGGCTTCTGGAGAAAGAATTTCCACTTGCACTAATGAATACATTTCAATTACAAGAATCTGTTCCGCCGCCCTTAAAACCTTATATATTTATCATGCCAAAGCATAATTTGGTATTTGATTACAGATTCATTAAAGAGGTAAACACATTCGATAATTTTTCTAATTTGTACAAGTATTTTTCTACGTATTAAAAGAGCCTGTTTCTATTTCGCTAAATTTTATCCTGCCAAGTCTGTGTTACCTTTTTTATCAGGGCAAAGGAAAGTGGAAGTTATGGTCGGACGAGTTAATATCGGCGCCGCCGATTCCCCGTGACATCCCTGTCAACCAAATAATCGTGCCAACCGTAGAAACGATACGGTACACTGCGCTCTTTCAAATGCTGGTGCAACACGAGAAGTCGGTGCTTTTTGTAGGTCCGACTGGCACTGGCAAGTCGGTATACATAATAGACTTCTTGTTAAAGAAGAATAATGCTGCGGTGAATAAGCCGTTGCTGATCAATTTTTCCGCGCAAACCACTGCAAATCAGACGCAAGATATTATTATGAGCAAATTAGATCGTCGGCGTAAGGGTGTTTACGGTCCTCCTATAGGTAAACGATGGATCGTCTTTGTCGATGATGTCTCGATGCCGATGAAAGAAACGTTTGGGGCGCAGCCACCTATAGAATTATTGCGACAATTATTGGACCATTGGCAATGGTAAAGTATCCTATGAATGAAAAGTATTACATACTCAAAACATTGATTATATAAAATTTAACTTCAGTAAAATATTTGTAATTTTCATTACGTTCTTGCTGGCAGGTATGACAGAAAGGAAGGAACGTTAATAAAATTGATCGAGATCCAATTGATGTGCGCAATGGCTCCGCCAATCGCTGGCAAAGATGTTACGTCGCGATTCAAACGACACTTCTTCGTTCTGGCAATATCTGAATTCGAGGATAGCGTTATGATCACGATATTTAGCAAAATTGTCCTGTGGCATCTCGATACGAGGTCTGTAAATTTCAAAATATTAAATAAGATTACTCGGGGAATACGTTGTAAGTTTATCCCGAGTAAATTTCTTGTTTTACGAGAATCCAGAGATCTATAATATATGTAAAGATTTCTTTGCGCATTGTAGGGGTTTCAGCAAGGAATTTGATCCATGCATTGATCAAATCGTTTTAGCAACCCTAGACATTTATAAAGAAAGCTTATGCAATTTGTTACCGACACCTGCAAAATGCCATTACATGTTTAATCTTCGTGATTTCTCCAGAGTTATCCAGGTTGCTTAAATCGCTAAATCATCCTGTTTATTCTATTATTATCTACACTTTCAAGAAACTTTCTTATTGCAATTATCACGCAGGGAGTACTTTTATCGGTTCCGGAAACTATGCCTGCACTCTCAAATATGAAACGATTATGGGTTCATGAAATACTTCGTGTATTTGGTGATCGTTCTGTCGATGAGATCGACATCAAATGGTTGATAGAGCAAATAAGCGTGACACTACAGAAACGTATGGAAGTCTCATTTGAAGAACTCTTTGAAGATCTGCTTCTAGAAAAGGACCAACATACAAAACAAGTAAGGTTTTGCCGCATGATTAGCTAATAAAAAAGATAATTGTGCTTTGATATCTCACATTCTTACATATCTCTGCAGATCACCATGAATGAATTGCGAAATTTGATATATTGCGATTTTACCGATCCCAAGGCAGACATTCGCTTGTACCAGGAAGTCAACGATTTAGAACAATTACGAGAGATCGTTGAAACGTATCTTTCCGAGTATAATTCGATGACGAAGAAGCCAATGAACCTGGTATTGTTCCGGTAAATCTGTCTTACAAATTTGATAAATGTAGTATTTGCAATGAATGCTCGAGCTTGTGCTAAACTCAATATAAATGTGAAGTCACAAATACGAAGTAATAAAATAACATAAATTTCACGTCAGAGCTTTATAAATTTTATCTGTAAATGTGAAGGTTCGCGATTGAGCATCTGTCCAGGATAGCTCGTATCATCAAGCAACCACGAAGTCACGCTCTCCTCGTCGGAGTCGGTGGGTCTGGGAGGCAGTCCTTAACCAGATTGGCGTCGCACATTTGCGACTACGACGTGTTCCAGGTCGAACTTACGCAACAATACGGCCAGCACGAGTGGCACGAGGATATCAAGGCCATTCTAAGGAAAGCCACCGCTACCGAATTGCATTCGACTTTTCTCTTCAGCGACATGCAGATTAAGGAGGACAACTTCTTGGAAGATATCAGCAATATGCTTAATTCAGGAGAAGTAAATACATAACGAGAATTATTAATTTTTACCTGACTTTGCTCGTTTATATCTTTTACGTGTAAATAAATTTAACAACTTCGATTTTTACTTAGGTACCCAATATATTCACGGCTGAGGAGAAGGCTGAAATATGCGAGAAGATGAAGCAGATTGATCAACAACGAGAACGAGCGCTACAAACGGACGGTAGTCCTCCGGCGCTTTTCAATCTATTTGTACAAATCTGTCGCGATCAGTTACATATTGTTGTCACTATGTCTCCCATCGGCGATGCTTTTAGAAATCGAATTAGGAAATTCCCGGCTTTGGTTAACTGTTGCACCATAGATTGGCTCCAGGTATTAATCTGAAATCGTCAGGTTTTATTATTATCGTACTTAAAAAATATAAAAATAACGTTGTTACGTCATTAATTTCATCGTTTAAGCCATGGCCTGAAGATGCTTTGTTAGCTGTTGCGACGAAATTCTTGTCGACGATCGAACTTACTGATCAGGAAAGAAGTGTCGGTATTGACATGTGTCAATTCTTCCACGTGTCCATTCAAAAATTAAGTGACGAATTCTTAGTTCGTTTAAGTAGACGCAATTACGTGACGCCTACGTCTTATCTTGAAATGATCAAGACTTTTCAGAGCTTACTCGACAAAAAGCGCGGGTAAGCATGACTCTGTTAGGCCTGGAATCTTTCCGTATAACTTTTCATAATGTTACAGAGAAGTGCTGCTCGCTAAGGCTAGGTACGAGGGTGGATTAGGACAATTGGATAGCGCGCAGCATCAAGTGACGGAGATGCAGAATACGTTGAAGCAATTGCAACCAAGGTTGATTGCGGCCACGCAGGATATCCAGCGAATGCTGGCCGACATTGAGAAAGAAAGTCAAGAAGTTGCAGAGTTTGAGAAAGTAGTCAAAGTCGACGAAACTGCAGCTGAAGTAAGATCATACAATCTCTCTATATTATTGAGATTAAAATATTATCATATATCATATTCTTAACACAATAACATATTATTGATATTGGATGTAAAGTATAAATTTAAAACTGTGTTCTCCATATAAAGTTATTATCATATAGGTAGTCGCGAATGAAGCAGCTGTGATAAGAGCCGAATGCGATGCTGACTTGGCCGAAGCCATGCCTATTTTAAATCGAGCCCAAGCAGCATTGGACACGTTAACATTGGCAGATATCGCGGTAGTGAAAGCAATGAAGCATCCGCCGTATAGTGTAAAGCTCATTGTAGAGAGCGTTTGCGTTCTCAAGGTACAAGGCAATGTGCAATGGAAAATGACATATATTATTATTTGTCGAAATGCATAATAATTACTCAGATGTTAATTTTATTGCTTATATTTTGTTGCAATTTAAGTGAATTATTGCAGCAAATAAAGCCAGAGAGAGTGCTAACGAAGGAGGGAACGCATATTGATGATTACTGGAAGGCCGCCTTGAGGATGCTCAGCGATGCCAAGTTTTTAGACTCGCTACTTCATTTTGACAAGGATAACATACCGGACAAGGTAATAGAAACGATACGGAAGGAATATCTGACCAATCCGGACTTTGATCCGGAGAAGATCAAGAAGGTGTCAATGGCTTGTGAAGGATTATGTCGTTGGGTTATCGCTATGTCCGAGTATGATACAATCGCGAAAATCGTCGCTCCCAAGAAACAAGCCCTGGCGCGAGCTGAAGCTGCTTATCATGATGCTATAAAAAAATTAAACCTGAAGAGAGAACAATTGCGCCAAGTGCAGGTACGCATTGAGAATATCAATAAAAATTATGACCTTATGACTATATTCAATTTTTTAAATATATTAGAAAAGGTTGTTGGATCTTCAAGAATCTTTAAGCAAAAGAAAAGTGGCGTTTCAAACGATGTCGGACCAGGTGGCGGATTGTGAGACAAAATTAAAGCGTGCCGAAGATCTTATCGGAGGATTAGGCGGAGAGTATACACGTTGGTCCCAAACCGCCACGGAATTGGGCGATAAGTAAGATCTGTCGCAATTGGATCTTTACCTGCGATTATTACAAATAATCAAATTAAATTAAATTTTTTACCTTTTATAGATATTATCGGCTAACGGGGGACGTGCTAATCGCTTCCGGTGTAGTAGCTTACTTGGGTCCGTTTACCATGCCGTTTCGTGTGGTGCAGATAAACGAGTGGGTCCAATTGTGCTCGGATATGCAAATGATTTGCAGTCATGATTTCCATCTGCGCGATGTACTCGGCGATCCGGTTTTGATTAGATCGTGGAACATTGCCGGATTGCCCGCCGACATATTTTCCATCGACAACGGAATTATCGTTACGTAGGTCACCTGTAATTTAAGTAACGTATTATATTGCGCAATGCCAACATTTTTTTTCTTTTAGAAATGCTAGAAGGTGGCCGCTGATGATAGATCCACAAGGTCAAGCTAATAAATGGGTAAAAAATATGGAGAAAAAGAATAATATAAGTATTATTCGATTGAGCCAACATGATTACGTGAGGATCTTGGAAAACGCGATACAATTTGGGCAACCGGTACTCTTGGAAAACATAGAAGAGGAATTGGACGCTATTCTGGAGCCGATACTTCTCAAACAGACGTTCAAGCATGCTGGTGCATTATGTATAAAATTGGGCGACACCGTAGTAGAATATAATGCTAATTTTAGGTATGCTCTAATGTGTACAAAATGTTGCATCTTAAGTTTCATACGGAAAAAGAATTTCTGAATGCAACATATTTTTATCAACAAATTTTGTTACATGAACAGTAAAAAAATTTGTGAATTTGATTTGTTAAAAATAGTTTGGCTGGTTCTGTAAATTATTTTGTCATGATTGTGCCACAAATTGATTTACAGAAAAGAAATATGATGAGGAAACTTAAGACGAAATATTCTTATACAAAAGATATAATAATAATGATTGTCATATTGGTACATTGTACAGACTTTACATCACGACGAAGTTAAGAAATCCTCATTATCTGCCGGAAATAGCAGTAAGAGTAACTCTGTTGAATTTTATGATAACACCGAGCGGCCTGGAGGATCAATTACTCGGAATTGTGGTCGCGAGGGAAAGACCTGATTTGGAATCGGAAAAGAACGCTTTGATTGTGCAGAGTGCTACGAATAAAAAGTATGTTATTTTATACGCTTTGATTTTATGCGTTTCAGCTATATCATTTCTGACTCTACCTGATATTACCATAGGATGTTGAAAGAGACAGAAGATAAAATCTTAGAAGTACTTTCCGCGGCGAAAGGTAACATTTTGGAGGATGAGGAAGCCATCGATATTTTAATGGTGTCTAAGAATTTGAGCGACGATATTCAGGTGAAGCAAGCAGCCACGGAAGTTACAGAAAAATCCATCGATGCCGCGAGATTACAATACCAATCCATCGCAGCCTATTCGACCATACTCTTTTTCACGATAGGTAGATCAATAATAGTGAAGAAAAGTCGTTGATACAATTCTAACCAGTGGTTTTAAACAGATTTTAACCGAATTATTCTTTTTGCAGCGTCTCTAGCTAATATAGATCCAATGTATCAGTATTCATTGGCCTGGTTTGTGAATCTCTTCAACATGGCTATCGATCACACAGAACCGACTGATAATATCAAGCAACGTCTGAAGGACCTGACCAGATACTTCACATATTCCCTTTACGTCAACATCTGTAGGTCTTTGTTTGAAAAGGATAAGCTATTGTTCACGCTGCTTCTCGTTTTTAATCTGCGCGAGACAAGCGACAAGCCGGAAACCGTGAGCCAATGGTTGTTTCTATTAACTGGTGGAATAGGTTTAGAGAATCCATATCCTAATCCTACTGAGTGGCTGCTTAGCAAGCACTGGGACGAGCTGTGTAGACTGGATAATGTCAAAGAATTCGAAGTAAATTTTTGTATAATCAATCAGAAATTCGATATTATAGAATGCACTTTCGTAGGGCATCAGAGAGTCGTTCTCTAATTCTGTTGGCGAGTGGAAGAAGATATTTGACTCGAAAGAACCGCAGAAAATGTCCTTTCCAGCGCCATACGACAGTTTAAATTTATTCAAGCGATTGTTAATTCTACGATGTATCCGTCCTGACAAAATTATCCCAGCAGTGCAGTTGCTCGTGGAAGGTAAAAGACAAGTAAATTGAATAAATTGAACGGACATCAATGATTATTCCGATCATACGGATGTTGCAGAACAACTGGGCACGCAATACATAGAAGCACCACCTTTCGACTTGGCGTCTTCCTTCGCGGATTCCAACTGTTGTATTCCGTTGATATTTATCCTGACTCCCGGCGCCGATCCAGCGCAAACTTTGTTGACATTTGCTGACGAACAAGGATACGGTGCCAAACGTCTTTTCTACTTGTCTCTCGGCCAGGGTAAATGCTTGCCGCGCGAACATTTGTTGCATGAAAATAATCGTGCCATTGTTCCAGGTCAAGGACCAATAGCGGAGGGATTGATAAAGGACGGTGTGTTGCGCGGTAACTGGGTGGTACTGCAAAATTGTCACTTGGCCAAGAGCTGGATGCCAACTTTGGAGAAGATATGCGAGGGTCTGATACCCGATACGATACATTCTGACTTTCGGCTATGGTTGACCAGTTATCCGGCAGAGCACTTTCCCATATCGGTTCTTCAGAACGGCATCAAGATAACGAACGAGCCGCCCAAAGGACTCAGAGCAAACATTTTGAGATCCTACGCGACCGACCCAATCAGTAATCTGGAGTTCTTCGAGAGCTGCATTCAAAGCGAGTACTTCAAGAAGCTTCTGTACTCGTTGAGCTTCTTCCATGCTATCGTACAAGAGAGACGTAAGTTCGGCCCGATCGGCTGGAACATCCCGTACGAATTCAATGAGACCGACTTGAGGATCAGCGCTCTGCAATTGAAGATGTTCCTGGACGATTACGAGGACGTGCAGTTCAACGCTCTGATGTACCTCACGGGTGAATGCAACTACGGAGGCAGAGTTACAGACGAATGGGATCGTAGAACACTGAATACTATCCTGTCCAAGTTCTATTGTCCGTGAGTAGTATTAGCAAATTGTGTAACTTTGATCAATCGATCAAGAATTATTACCTATGTTCTTACTTAGAAAACTGTTGACCGATGAAATATATTACTTCGATGCATCGTCTACCATTTATTACTGTCCGTTCGCCAGAGAACACGAAGCTTATATCACGTACACAAAGAAACTTCCGATAATTACAGAACCAAGTGTATTTAGCATGAATGAGAATGCTGACATTCTGAAAGATCAACGAGAAACAGACCTGTTGTTAACTTCACTGCTGCTCACTCAAGTAAACTTTTATATTTAAATTTTAAAGAAAATAATGATAATTGCATCCTATAAATATCGTTTTTCTTGATTTTATCAAACATTATTCAGGATCGAACGGTATGTATTTACGACATTGCCACAAAAAGTAGCGCAATTTTAATTTATCGTCAATTACATCGTTAAATTCATGTATAATTACAAAATATTATGTATTTTATGTAATTGTCTCTTTTTTAATGCACGACCTCAGGATCTTTGGAAAATTAAGGTATGTCAGATATCGCCTTCCGAAATGATTACTCGATACCGTTACTTTAATAAATCTTGGACCGATCGATTCTTCTTGAACCTGAGATTAAATTCTAGATGCGTCAATATAATTTGAGCAAAGATGATGTTCTGTTATCTTCTATCTTAGGAAGCTGTTAAATCCGGTTTGAGACAAACCTCTGACGATGAGATAGTTCACAGTGTCGCAACAGAAATCTTAGAAAAGCTTCCAAATGATTACGATCTCGTTGCAGCACTTGCCAAATATCCTACGTTGTACAGCCAAAGCATGAACACTGTGCTAGTGCAAGAGATGGATAGATTCAATAAATTATTACGCTGTATCAGGGATAGCCTTATCAATGTACGAAAAGCTATCAAAGGTATATCTGTCCTCTAACAATAAGAAAGTTATGACAAATATTGCCAAGTAATTTAGATCAACAAATCAATCCTTCATACTCTAATAAGATTATGATAAAAATTGAGATAGCAACATCTTAAAAATTATATTGTCGCAATACCGCAGGTTTGATATTAATGTCCTTCGAACTTGAAGATACTTACGAAGCAATCTTGATGACCAAGTTACCTCTTTTGTGGAAAGCAAATTCTTACCCCTCCTTGAAACCTTTAGGCAGTTATATCAACGACTTTTTACAACGTTTAACATTTTTGCAGGTAATTATCACTTTTGTTACTTTTCTTGAAATACTTATAAATATATATATCAATTTATCATTACATAGAAATGGTATGAGGAAGGCCCGCCCGCTACATTCTGGTTACCCGGATTTTATTTCACGCAAGCGTTTCTAACTGGGACACTGCAAAACTACGCGCGCAAGTATCAGATCCCTATAGATCTTCTCACGTTTGATTTCGTAATCCTGAAAGAGACTGTCTTCACGATCATGCCCGAGGACGGCATTTACGTTTACGGACTGTTTCTGGACGGCGCACGGTTCGATATGAAGGAAATGTGCGTGGAAGAGAGCTTTCCCAAAGTGCTTTACGATAACGTACCCTTTGTAAGTGAATTCATCCTGCAAGAAAGGGTTTATGGGTCAACGACATTTACCTCTTCGTGATATTTCCAGCTATGGCTGATACCGATGAGGAAGGCGGATATCGAGGAAAGACAATCGTATATTTGTCCGCTCTATAAAACCAGCGAACGCCGCGGGGTCTTATCCACCACCGGTCACTCCACAAACTTCGTCATAGCTGTACGATTGCCCACGGCAAAGCCACCCGAACATTGGATTTTGAGAGGAGTGGCTATGCTTTGTCAACTCAGTGAATAAAATAAACCAACGTAACGCCATTATCCTTCTAATTCTTTTCTTCGGCAACAGATATGTCTCAGCGTGTAAACAATTATTTTCGGCGCTGCGTCTTTGCTTTGTCACGTGGAAATTTGTATACTTACAAACTGATGTCGTCCTTTCGTTCAAACAAACGAAGCTGATGAAAGTGCAATCATTTCTTCTTCGCTTTTCGTCGTTTCTTTAAGGAAATACGCTCCAAGTACGCTCTCCATGCCCTTTGGATAACTTTGGCAGCTCGATTGCGCCTGAAGAGTTCCAGTTTCTCAGCGAAAGCTTTCATCAGCGCGAGTTCTTGCTCCTTCTTGAATGAAGCATACAGCTCTCGTTGCACGATCAGCTTTTCCTAATAAAAAAGAAACGTATGTCAGCTCGACAAAATTTTACATATTAGATACGCGTTGACCGAGATCAAACGTGTTACGAACCTCCATTTCTTTAATTTCTCCTTTAACAGCCTCATTCTCTCTCGACAATTCTTCTGCCAACTTATGAAACGCGCCAATATCGCAATCGTATTTAGCAAGGAGAGTGATATATTCCCGTTCGACTTGTGCGCTGAAATAGAAAATTAATTAACGTTCGTTCATACATTCCTCGAGTGAATCTTGCCAAATCAAACCGCGTTTTTCATAAAGATCGTCCCGCACTTACCATGCGTCGAAAAGCATCTTCTCGGATGTCGCATTGGATTCTACAACGTCGTGCAATCTGCGTTCTGCCGAATCTATTTCAGATCGTAGCACTACCTTTCGCGCTTCCTCTCGTTCTCTCACGATCAGCATCTCCCGCATCGATTGCTCTCTACAAATTATCAAAGTAAAGTTTGCCGTGAAACTGTGACACGTCGACGCAATTTTTGTCCAAGTAAATAATTAAGTCTCTTAATACACACATTTCTGCGGGTATCTTTATCTCTGACGTCTCTCTGATACTTCGTATTACCTTCTCCTCGTCGTTTACGCAGGTAACAATGTCCCTCAGAAAGATCTCGGAGTTGGAGTCTTGTTCCTCAGACATCTCCCGCAAAGCTGCAAAAATCAATATCTTTAGTTCGCGCCCGAAATGCGATGCGTGTATTATCTTGTAACAAAAGAGACTTAATTATTTTCTTCATTAAGTTTACCTTCCAGCTCTGCCATGGCTTCCGCTACTTTCGCCCGGCAATCGTGCAAATTGATAGCGTGCGTGCGTTCCGCCTCTGGAGTCCTCTTCATGCGGGACGTAACAAATTTCTTGAGAAGCCCAACGAGATCGATGATCTCTCGAAGCAACGGCGAAGCGTGAACGCCAAGTTTCTCAATCTATTGAGAGGAGTATTAGTTGTTGCTGTGTGGATTTAAAATCGAGCTTCGTCTACGAAAATGGCGCAATATGGCGCGAAAGTAGCGTACATTCCACCATGGTTTGCACTAGTGCGCACTCAGTGCACATTAAGGCGTGTTTACAGTTAATTTTTGTATTTAAGAATCGTCTCAAATACTTTTTGAAATGCTTCTGAGCCAGTAAAATGATCTGTATAGTACTCGTACGGATCATTTTTTTTTGGCTAAACAGTTTTTAGACCTGTACTTGAGAAAACTGTAAATATAAGAGTAGATTCTGAACACGCCTTGATGTGCACTCGGTGCGCACTAGTGCAAGCTGCCAAATTCCCTATTAATCTCGCAGCTTTGCTTCGAGCGCGCCGATTGGCTAGAGAACCGTCTTCCGATCTTAGGAAATTCTCTATCCGACGACCAATCGGCGCGCTCGAAAAGCTTACGACACTACGCGCGAAATACAAGGCCTCGTGAATCTTTTTCTTTAACGTGAACTCGTGAAAAGTGAACAATTTCATTGAACAATTCAATATTCGTCAATGAAATTTATCACTTTTCACGAGTTCACGCTAGAGGAAAAGATTCATCAAGACTTGGAGGCAAATGACGTAGCTGAAATAAACTAAATTGCTGAAATAAGAGAATGCCTGTGTCCAGCAGAAATTAGCGCTTGCTAAGCGCTTTGCGTTCATTGGATTAGT